ATCTATTTGTATCATTAAGCTCTCTGAGCTTGTATATTGCTCATTTCTCTAACAATTGATAACTTGTAAATCTTATTTTCAAACTTTTTAATTCCCAATCTGATCTAAAGCAATTTGATCTAAATTTACTCGCTTATGCATCCTCGCTTATGCATATTGCATCTGCATGCTTTAGGGTCTGGATCCTTCTTTCCCCAATACAACTAATAATGGCTTGACTTCCTATAGATATTCAGCCATCGCCGAATTCCCTTAGATGTTCAAGAGCGTTCTTCTATAGCTTCCAAAAATCTTATTGTATCCCTCGTTTCTTCTTCTGTGTACGCTTTGAAATATCTAAGATATGTCATCGACTTCCATCTGCCCTGTCTTGCAATAGTCTTTACTGGCGTCCCCAGGTTATATCGAATGGACGCCCCACCCACTCTGAAGGAGTGGCCTGACCAGGTTCCGATACTTGATCTTCCCCAAGAGTCTTCCACTATTCGTATAAATCTCTGTTTTGTTAGTGGTGTCATTCCATTTCTCCCTTTTGTTGCAAACAATATGTCGTCTCTATCCCCTCTGCTATTCATTTTTAGTGCTCGTTCAATAGCTTCTACTGGGTCTAGAACGTTTTTCTGTTGCTGCAGGTGTATTACTTGTACCTCGTTTACCTTCGCAGTCTTGGCTTTCCTCAAGTGTAGTCTTATGAACCTTTCTCCGTCTCTTTCGCCGAATTCAACGTTTCTTTGCAATAACGCTCCTTCTTCTATTGGGTTTCGCAAAAGTTCGCCCAGTCTCGCCATGCCCCAGAAAGCCACAACTGCCACTATTCCTGCTAATTCTTGTTCCTGTGAACCTTGTAAGGAATCTTTCAAGAGCTTGAACAATTCTCTTATCATTACAGGTTTTTTCACCGTTACTAACTCTTTCGCTTCTTCGTTTCTTTTTGTGGCGTTAATCAATAAAGACACCATCTCACGATCCGCCATCGGTCTCATCTTGTGCTTCACCATATGCCAAGCTCTTATTCCATCTAGGTACTTTTTTATCGTCACCGACGAAATTGTTCTTGTCGGTCCATTCAAAGGTTTGTCTTTTGACTCTCCCGCCCAAGCGATGAAGTCATATATATCTTCATCTGAAATTATTTCATCTGCGTTGAAACCGCCAGTTGTCTTCTCTTTAAACTCAATAAATTTTGACATGCCACTAGAGTATCCGCCTAAAGTCGACTCTGCCCAACCACTAGTAGCTGCATGTCTCCCTGCTAGTGACGTGCTCTGTCTAGCGTTCTCAAAGTGTTGCGGTAACTGCCGTTGGAAACTTCTATTCTGCATGGTGCGTATTCAAAGATCCTTTGAAATTTCTTTGTAAGTCTTTTGTCAAAAACGATGCTCATTTGGTCGATCACTCTATTGGCTTTTTCATTCAAGCTCGACGGTACTTATCACTCCTGTACAACAAATGGTCTCAGATCGAATGGAATCTCCACTTTGACCTTGTCTCTTCCATGTTTTGTGGAGTCAAACCCCCTTGATAACCTATCAGCCGCGTTATCTTCCGATTTTACCCGCTTTTGTCTGATACTGCAGTTCTTCTTCATTAAGTCGTTTTGTATCTGTTTCCATTCCTTATTCACCCACCTGTTTCTTGACTTCCCGTTCTTCACCGCACCTTCTGTCACAGTGTTATCCGTAAGTACTAGTATCTCGTATCCTCTGACATCTATTAATGAATCTACCATTATCAAACCGAGTCGCACCGCAACTGTTTCAGCCCATGCGATTTCTCTTCTTGATCCGTCATACTCCAAATCGTTCCATCCCGTTCTCAATCGGAATCTGGCCCATTTCTTCCCCACTATTATACCAATTCCATATGATGACGACACATCGCCTACCCATCCTATGTTCCGTACTCCTTTCTTCGGTATCAGGCGTCTAGGATCAGCTGTAAGTAGTGTTGAATGCCATATTTCCAAATCTTCTCTGACTTCGTCTGGCAAATCTCTATATGCCCACTGATGAACCCACTCCGCCATCCACCTATACATAGCCATTCCATAACAGCGCATTTGTGGGTATACCAGTGACACGTGATTTAACCTCCCCGATAGTTTTTCAGCTTCCTTGTAAGTACACTTGTTTGCTTTCAAAACCTTCATTATCTGTTCCAACCTCTTCTCTAATTTTTCTTTGGGTAATCTGACGGTTTTCTCTTTTCCGTTCCAAATGAACCCTAGGTACTTTTGCTCTTCTCCGAACTCTTTCCACTTTGTAGGGTTGCTTACTACACCCATCTTCATACTCGCCTCTGCGACTTCCTTCATCGATACTTCATTTCTATCCGATTTCCTTTTTACGAATAGTGTGTCATCCACCCAACGAAAAGCCTCTGTAAATTTAAATTTTTCTTTCATGACTGTCTTCCAAACATCTGCCACTTGTCCGAACGATCCGCAACCGGCTACTCCGCCGAACGTGATCCTTGTGTCCAGTAAGATCATTCCTTCAAAATTTTGCACCATTAGAAACGGCCACTGACTCATGCACGTTGGTATCTGGCGGTAAGCCTTAGCCCAATCAAATATTCCTAACACCAGTTCGCCTTCGATTTCCATGAATAACACAGCTACTTTTTCGAAATCATCCCAGGACGTGATAAAGTCATCTTTGTCTACGCATGCGTTTACTGATTTAATCTTTGAATCATTCCTCGGATACGACAAATCGTTAATTGTCCTCAAAGTTCCATCGCCGTTTATAACCGCTCCTATTGGGTTTGTTCTAAAAAATCCTAGTTTTTCGTATACTTCCTCTTTTAAAAACGGTCCGTACATCCTTCCCGCCATCAATTCTTTCTTGAAATTGTCTTCTATCTCATCTCTTGCGGCTTCTGCTGACAAATGATTTGTAGGACAATAGAACCTCATCCCTGGTATGGGCTTCTCTGGTATGCCTTGATGAAAGCCGGTCTCAAAGCCTTTCAGTATATGGTTGTATCTCTCCAAAATACCTATTGCTCTCAACTCTTCTCTCCAAACTTTTATGTTCATCTCACATCTCACCTCATTTGGCCAACACGTTCTGTGCCTTTCTTGGCGCTGCGTATTCGACTCTTCGTTTCCTGCACTTCTCGTGCTCGCTCTTATTGGAAAAACCGAGAAGGAAATACAAGAAAAAAGGAAACATATGTTATCTTGGGTAGCTCACTTCTCACAATTTGGTATTGTCAACATAACAGCAGAACCAAAGCCTTTTCAGGTATTCATTTCAATTTTATATACATTTCTCTACTCACTGGTAGCGGCCTTTCCCAGGCTTCCCACCTTTGAAAGGTTTGTTATCTCTTTCGCCACTTCGGCTTCTATGACGTTTCCTGTCACCACCATAATATTCGTTACCACCGCTACGATGATTTTGGCTGTAATCATAACCACGATGTCCTTGGTTATAGTCATAACCTCTTTCTCTGTCATCTCTTCGGTCTTCTCTCCAGTACCTATTAGTCTGTCGTTCTGCTGCTTTTTGCGCTTTGTACTGAGCTTTTGGTAACCATTCCTTCTTTTTCTTAAAGGGTTCTAAACTTTCAACCTTGGCTGTTGTAATGTTTGAATTTGATGTTGACTTTTTCTTATCTCTCGGTAGTCCAGTTTCCGGATCGACGTGTTCTCGTGGTCCTCCAGGTGCATATGGGTTCGTCAGGTATGCCCGTTCACCAAAGTTTTCACATGTCTGCTTAACTTCCTCTAACACCGTGGTTTGTAATTCTGAAATATTACATATCTCCTTCCCAAGCGTCATCCTCATCACCCCCTGTCAAACCTTCCTGCAGTACCGCAATGCCACCATCCACCCGATATTTTCTCTTAGCTCACTCACTATCTCTTGGTGCTTCTTGAATCTTACTGTTTGAGTCTTCCACCCTGCATCTTCTACGTAACGTATAAACAAGGTCATACAATCCAACCACTGCTCATATTGAATAGTCAATTCTTCCGTCGGTGGTTCGGCGTTATACATCTTCACGTTGCCTTTTAAAATTTTTGCTTCAGAAGGCATTTCCTTCCCCGTCCAGGCGTTATGATCCGATATCAACCATGCCTTGTTGAACACCGTCAACGGTATGTAAGCTTTAAATGATTTCATATAACTTGCTAGGACTGGACTTAAAGTTGTCAGGAGCTTCCCTAGCTGATTAGTTTTGCTATTTAAAATTAGGCGTCCGTTTTCAATTACATCTCCATTTTCTAATTCCATCCAACCTTTCCCGGACTCCAACATCGCTTTCGCCCGCTCCGCCTCAGACATACCTCCTTCAACCCTCTGTTGAACGGGTCCTCCCAACGCTATCATCGAGATCTCCCGGGTTTGACGGTTCTGAATCACCGGGGCGTTCACTACTTCTGTTCCGTTTTCTGATAGGTTTTCTCTTATCAACCGGTAAGGCGCTGGAGATCTAGATTGCTGTCGGTTTTGTGCTTGTGGCTGAGGATGCTGACGTATAACATCTTCTACTCTAGCTCCTGCCAGGTTTAGGTCTGGTTGTCGTCTCTCTTCGACGTGTTGTCTTCTCTCAACAACGTGTTGTTGACGTTCTTCAAGTCCTTGAAACCTTTCCTCTTCATTCGTTTGGCGTCTCAATGATGGCAATCTTTGGTTCGAGCCACTTGCTTTTGATTCATTTCCCGCACTCATCTCGATAACTTTGGCCAATAGAGCCGCGCCTTCGTTGATTTTCCCGGTAGCGTACAAGAAATTTATTTCTGCTTGCATCGCAATCAAGCCATCTCCTTCGGCTATTAATGAAGAAATTCAGAAGAAATTTATGATTGTGAGTAATCTTCCTTCCTAAACATTGTTTCTCTACTTTATGAAAATTCGTTCTTTCTGACTCTTGGTTTAAATTATGTCATGGACACCTTCTCGTGGACATTGTCCCTTTAGGATTACCACTTCTATAGTTACATTCTCACATAGAGAAACTATTTATTCCATAGTTACATTCTCCTTCTGAGAAACTATGTTATCCTACGCGTAGTTACATTCTCTTTATGAGAAACTACTAGGACTTCCATCTTGGTTCCACAGTTACATTTCCATACAAGGAAAACTGAACCGTATGGGCACTGTACGAATATCTGATATCGAGTGATGAATGTGAATATTGATTTTGATTTATAACTTACCCATTGACCCGCTACATGCAATTGACAACTCTTCTTCTTCTGATACAGGTGACAATAATTTCCGATTCTTCCCTTTTTGACTTCTTGTCGGTGGGTGCCACGACTCATCTTCCGATTCATCCGCGTTGGTTATTTGAATAAACGGAATACCATCTACTCCATCTTGCGCTTCTTGATTTCTATCGCCTTCAGCTCTTCTTTGTTGATCTTCTGAGTTTTGTTGACCCGCTACTTCAGCTCCTTGTCCTTCTTCATTTATTGATTTTATCTGTTGACTATTTCCAATCTCTCCCGTGTTGCTTTCCTTTTGTTGGTCTTGTCCTTGATTTTGCTCTTGAATCTGATTCCCGGATCCCCCTTCTTCTTTCGTATCTGCTCTACTTCTTTCTAAAGCTGCTGATTGAGCCCTTGTCATTCTAGTCGCGTTTTCTTCAGCTTGTCCGATTTGTTCTAACAGTGATTTCTCCATGATTTAGTAATTTTTCCAATAATAATTTTTTAATAATTTGATCAATAATAAAAACTTTCTTCAACGAATCTTAACTCAAGTTTGAGCTAACTGGAAAAGGGGGATAAGGGGATTGAGAAGTCTCGGAAACTATCGTGTGACCTTTCCGAGGGATGATCTTCTTCAACATCCCTTGGAAAGTCCGATCTTCGGCCGACCCGACAGTCCCGCTAAATCCCCATGGGCTTATGAACCAACGAGTCGGTTCTAGCAATGCAATCGAGTGCCTGCAAAAAATGCGGTCTGCGGCGCGGCGCGCCCCATTTCAGCGCGCCGCTGCCTCACTTGGATTTTTCGAAACTGAGATTGTGCTGCGGTGGGGCTACGTAGCCACTGGGGTAAACCCCAGCACTGTCCCAGTGGACCCAAAATGCGGCGCGCCGCGGCGGGGTTTGCGCGTTGCTCATACCACCTCCTGTATTGTTTTGGATTTTTTCAGTGATGATCATTAAGTGGGATTTCAACTGGCCAAGATGACTGTTTGAGATGTCTAACTTTTGCTTGATTACGGGGAACTTGTGCTATATTCACTTTGTCCTGTGATTGGCCTTGACCAGCCTGGTGGCTGCTTCCAGCGTATACAACCCAAAAGTGATTGTCTGATCATGAAGCTTCTGCTTGATGGATTCAGGCAAAGCAACTAGAAAGGTAAGTCAGCCCTGATACAGAAAATTTCATTTGATTGTTTACTTACCAGGTTTATTTTTTGACTTTTGGCAATGGAACCATAAAGAATGAGATGTCAGCACAGAACCAAACAAGATTGTTGAATGTTTACTTTACTTACGACTTTCAATTTCTGAGGTTTCATGGCTGAAGTCATACACCACGGACAATTCTCAAGATCCTATACCGGATGTTGGATTGCGTCTGCTGGTGTTTAGATCAAATGGATTCCCAAAAATGAGCAGTTCAATTGATAATTCTCAATTTTCCTTGGTGGCATCCAGATGTTCCGTGAGGGTGGATTCCTCAGAATGAGAATGGATTCTGCTACAGAGAACTTGATCAGTCACTATGGCAAACCTAATCCTAAACTAAAAGGAACTGATGCTTGGTTGGAATCAGACAGGTTTTGAGATTCATTCAAGTTGCTGCTGGGCTTGGAATCACAAAATGGAGTTTTAGGCATTTTTAAAAAGTATTTCAAGAGAAAGTCAGAATGATTTAATGATGAACAACAGAAAAATTCAAAATTGAAATCTTTGACAGAGTATGAATAAAGACTGAAAGATGTTTGTGAAGAAGGGATATAAACTCAATTGTTCCTGAAGTTCAATAGAAAAAAGCCATTCCAAACAGCCCTTGAGGGTCTTCCCATCTGGAACCAGAAAAGTTGTCAGATGGGAAAATGTCAAACTTGAATGGAATTCATTGAGGATCACCAGGTTAGTGCAAGTCATAGTCTGCAAATCCTTGTCCAAGATGGGTTACTCAACAGCCCAGCCACTTAAATTTGGGCCGGTGCTACACCTTGTACGGCCCAGCTGATGATTTTTTGAAAACTTGGATTTCAACCTTTTCAAAATCTACTGTACTTAGTCAATCTGGCACCTCCAAACCCACTAGAGGTACACTGCAACCTACCAAACTGTAGTTTGCCAAATTGAATTCAATGGCTTTGTCCCAAAATCTGAGGTTTGGTATGGCACAGTCATCCATCATTCAGGTATAGCCCCAGGAGTTGCCCAAGTAGCCTTTGTGACTATAAATTGAGATTTGTGCTGTTAGAAGATGGAGAGCGCCAAATTGTTGATGTGACTCTTGCACATCATTTTCATCATCATCTGAATGAGAGTTTGAATGACTTGTTTTTTTGTGCAAGGGAAATATGAGATTCTGGGCAAAAGCCCTGTCTGATCTCATGCTTGAAATTCAATTTTCACACATTATAAGTCCCTTGTTTGAGCAAGCTGGTTACAGCTCAGGAACTTGCTCAAGTTGACATGAGAGTTAAGTTTGGCAAAGACTGTATCTTTTGGTTTTCAGCAGCACAACCATTCATTATATGTTGGATGTTAAGACAAAACAACAAAGTTTTTCACTACCTTAAAGCAGATGGAAACTTCAAAGGTTACCACTGAAAAAGAGTATAGTCTTTGCTGTGTTCAGATCAAGTTAAAGACTAAAATTTGAACTTTTTCAGGTTTTTGCAATCTTCAACTTATACTGAAATGGTGGCAACCTCTAAAGGTTATTCTTTTCAAGGTAGAAAAAAACTATATTCTTATTTGCTGAAGTCCAACATATCATGAATTAGTTGTATGTAGTTTTGGAATTAATTTAGTTTTGGGATGTACATAGAAAAGTTTGATTGGAGCTTTTTCATCATCATCACCATAATTCCTCAAGCATGAAATTCAATGTAATACCTGTCCTTTCCTTACACTTTCATCTTGCTCTCAATCACAATCTCACCCAAACCCATGATCAACCATGATATCTAATCTTACTTCACCAACTTTTTTGACTTTTTTTAATCAATCTTAGTAACTATCTAACTACAATATATTCTTTTCTCTCTTTCTCTCTCAAGTTACAATCCATCAGAAAAAAAATCAAAACTTCAAATTCAAATTCATCAGAAAACAAAATCAAAGACAATCAAAAATGAATAGCTTTTCCACTTGCAGCCATAGCTAAAAAGAAAACAGCACGAAAACCCAAAACATCAATACACCTTCTTTCAAATCTCTCTCTCAAGAAAAATGAATCAAACTCACCAGCTTCTTTAAACGCTTCACTTAAAGTAGGATGAGCATGTGACGTTCTAGCAATATCTTCAGAACTAGCACTATACTCCATGGCCAAGACTCCTTCTCCAATCATCTCACCTGCATTAGGTCCGATAATATGAATCCCTAAGATCTTATCGGTTTCTTTTTCGGTTAAGAATTTCACCATGCCTTCTGAATCATCATTTGTTTTAGCTCTAGAATTAGCTAAAAATGGAAACTGTTTCAAAAATAGAAGCAAAACCGAATGACCAACATCTCTCCAGATTCAGTTTGACATTTTTGGTGGTTTTTTTTGTGAAAAAGAGGAAAACACTCAACTTTTCCAACATTATAATTCACATTTGCTTTCTTTAAATCTTCTTCTGTCTTTCCTACCCAAGCCACTTCCGGATGAGTATAAACCACTGAAGGAATCACATCATAATTCACATGACCATGACCATGTTTAATGATCTCAGCAATCGCGATCCCTTCTTCTTCAGCCTTATGAGCCAACATCGGTCCAAAGGTCACATCACCAATACATTTGATATTCGAAACAGATGTGTTATACTGATTATCGATGACCACTCTACCACGTGAGTCAAGTTCGACTCCAGCTGCTTCTAAGTTCAATCCACTCGTATTCGGTCTTCGTCCAACAGCCACCAAGACCACATTAGCATCTAATTCTTCTTGTTTCGATCCATCTGATGCTTCAACTTTCACTTTACAATCTTGATCTGAAAGTTTCTCTAATCCAGTAACTTTAGTATTCAACTTAAACTTAATCCCTTGTTTAGACAAAATCTTTTGAAAACTTTTGGCCATTTCACCATCAATTCCTTGACCCCCAATCGTACTTAAATATTCTACTACAGTTACTTCGGCTCCTAATCGACTCCAAACCGATCCCATCTCTAATCCAATGATCCCTCCACCTATAACGATCATCTTTTTTGGAACCGAGTTTAATTCTAATGCACCAGTAGAAGAGACGATTTGTTTTTCATCAATCTCAATCGAACCACCAGGAAAAGGTGAAACTTCAGATCCAGTAGCAATAATAATATTCTTGGCTTTCAGATCTTGTTTTCCTGAACCGTTTAGTAAATCTACACTGATCGATGTTGAGGATGAGAATGATCCATGTCCTTTAAAGTAATCGACTTTGTTCTTTTTGAATAATCCTTCGATACCTTTGGTGAGGTTTGAAACAGCTTTATCTTTTGCTTTTAACATGTTAGGTAAATTCAATTGTACATCACTAACTAAAACCCCCCTCAACCAAAAAAAAACAAAAAAACAAAAAAGAAAGAATCAGTATTCCTCGATCGAAGAAGTTTATTTTTGGTTTTGGGGTTTTTGTTTTGGGGAAAACTGACCATCAATCCCTCTAGATTTTAAATCATGACAAGTTTGATGATAAAGATGACTATTATTCAACATAGCTTTCGAAGGAATACATCCCACATTCAAACAAGTACCACCTAAACTTCCACGTTTTTCTACACACGCTGTTTTTAATCCTAACTGAGCTGCTTTGATGGCTGCAACATATCCTCCTGGACCTACAAAAAAAAACCACACACCAGAAAAACAAAAGAATGTTTATCGTTTGATTTTGGTTTTGATTTGTTTTTTGGATGAGAAGTTTACCTCCTCCGATGACCACTACATCGTACTGAGAATCATTAGTTTCGGTTGCAAACCTTCTTTTGTTCCAATTAATTGAATTCAAAGAAGTTTTAGAATAATTCAAAGTAGAGACCTATTTTATTGAAAAAAAAACACATTATTAAAAAGTTTTGAATGATTAAAGAGTATAGATGAAGAATACCTTTGCTGATCTGATTGATAGATGAGATAACATCAGAAAGTGATTGGTTTTGATGTGTTGATCTGTTGATAGTGAGATATGAGAATGAGATAGTTATGTTGGGGTGAAAGTGTCAAAGTGATCAATTGGTTCAAGTTTTCATTCTTCGGGTCGAGTCGGGTGATCAACTAAAACCCTTTGTATTCCCATACAATACAAGTTGTCAAAACCCATGAAATAAACTATTCAATTCGATTAGGATCCGATTAATCGAAACAAGAGTTCGTCAGATGAGAAAAGAAATGAAATGAAATGAGTTAATGGTTAAATGAACCAATCAATCAACTGTGGGGATTGCATTTCTGACTTGATTTTCTTCTTTCTTCTCTTCTCTTTGATGAGTCATGACTATCTATTCGAATGACTTGTTCAAAAGTAACTGATCTGTTCTAAAGGATCTCATCAGACACTTTTACACCGATCAATCCAATCGACCAAAACAAAACAAAACAAAACACTTAAATCATCAAAGAGCAGTATGAAACCAATCAAACAAACAAAAAGAACTATTCTTCAAAGTAATTTAGAAAAACAAGAATGTAAAGAATGTGAAAAGATACATAAAACTCATCAACAAGAAATTGATAAAGTATGGAAAACGATTGATGAAATGAACCAAAAGTTAACTCAACTAATGACATTATTATTTGAATCTCATCAAACTGATGACGATGATGACGATGATGATGATGATGATGATGATGATGATGATGATGATGATGATGATGATGATGGTTCGACGGATGATTCAGTCATATTAAACGAATCAGAATTACCTACTTCAAGTCAAGAAATCTCAAGTCAAGAAATCGTTAATACTTCTGGTTGTGAAGATGAAGAAGTTTTGGCGATTTCTGGTTTGGGTATATCTACGAGTAGTAGACCAAAGAAACTGATTATTAAGAAATCAAACTCGATCGGTGAAGAAAACTCGATCAATGAAGAAAACTCGATCAATGAAGAAAGCTCAATAGATGACGAAACCTCAATAGATGATGAAGAAACCTCAATAGATGAAGGAACCTCGATAGATGAGGAAGGAACCTCAATAGATGAAGAAGGAACCTCAATAGATGAAGAAAACTCAATAGATGCTGAAGAAATCTCAATAGACGAAGAAAACTCTTCAAATGCTGAAGAAATCCCATTGAATGAAGAAGAGCATGACTCAATAAACGATGACGAAAATTCCACAACATCAGAATCATTTTACTCCACCAAATCATTTCCAAACCCATCTCCAATTCGAAATCCAACTCCAACTTCAAGAGAAATCCAAGACGACGAATCCCAATACTATCCCATCACACCTCAAAGCTTACCCCTAGAATTCGATCCGATCCATGGCCTACATCCCTCATACCTGGCCCACCTACAATACTCATTTCAAGAAATCGGAATGATAGAACTACACGAAGAAATTGTCGAAAGGTCTCATTACGATTACAGTCGAGGAGAAAGACCATCAAAAGAAGACCCTTCAAATCATATCTTTCCTCCATTTGATCAACTTTATAATTGGAGTCATCTGACTCCTTTAAACAAAGTTAAGGTCATCATCTTGGGTGATGAACCGAGTAACAAACCTGGCTTTTCTCATGGATTGGCTTACTCTCAGTCTATTACTTCTAAGCGGATCTTAGGTACGATGAATAATGTGGGAAACCTTTTGAAATAGTTTATTCATTAAATCAAGTACCTCAAAAGCTAATCAATCTTCAACCCATCTTTTTCGAATGTTTGTTTTGATGATTTAAATCTTATGGATTTTGTTTGTTTGTTTTTGAAAAGATTCATAACGAATTAAACCATCAATTTCCAAACCAATTTCCTTCCAACTTATCACACGGTTCATTAGTTTCATGGACCCAATCAGGTATCCTTTTACTCAACATCATCCAAACCATTCCAAGATCAACTGGTACATCACATCAAGGAATCGGTTGGGAAAGATTCACACAAGTCGTCCTAAATTTAATTGATCAACAAGGAGGTAGTGATCTTCAGCTCGGTCTTGTTTTTCTTATATGGGGAGAAAATGCATTAAACCAAATTAATCAATCATCAATTCCTTCAGTTAAGTCTCTCTCTTTTCTTCCCATAAATTCCTTCAAGGTCTGACGTTTGATGAGGGTTTTCTTGCGCTTTACTTGCTTTGCTTTTTACTTGGGATTTATAGTCTAAAAGAAATCATTTGATCTTACATACTTCTCATCCTAAACCAAGTACATCTCATTTAGGTTTCCTTGGATCTCATCAACATCATTTTCGTATTACAAATCAGTTTTTAGAAACTCATTATGGATCGAAATCGAAAATAAATTGGTGTGAATTAGAAAGATTAGATCCGATTGATGTTTTAAAAAAACCTTAACCAATCATCTTTATAATAAAGAGATTTTTTGATGTTTGGATGGTTGGGTTCGGTTTTGAAAAGGTCATCCTCAAAGAATTTTTTCCTTTTTGGTTACGGTTTGGGGTTTTATGTTTTTTTCGATTTTGGGGTTAATATTTATTGGATTAGATTGGATTGGATTGAAATTTTAGAATTTGGGTTTTCACTTTAATCATTTGTTTTATAATTTATTTTAAAAAATCTAATGGAACATAATTATTTAAAAATGTTCATTGAACCCATTTTTTTGTATGAATTGAAAGATTCCTAATGATCCATTGGAGCCAGTGTGCTTAAGTAAATTCGAGTGAAGGATTTCATTCTGAATTTAAAGTGTTTCTCTGTGATAGAATATCTTTCATTCTCACATTTTAAAATCAAACATATATGGGTTATGATTAACATCTTAAAATTTCTCAACTAGATCTTCTTAATCAAATAACTTATAATTCTTTAAATCTAATGTTTCAAAAGAAATTCTTAATTCATATTTAATCAAGTTTACAAAACACTTCAATATACCAAAAACTACCAATAAGAAACATATCAAGAATAACTTCAAACACACCTATGATAGATTCCAAGTTAAATGATCAATACAAATTCAAATGTTCACAAAAATGGTTTAAAAAAAATGACTACTATTGAGAGAGATGAAAAATGATGATGATGATGATGATGATGAATGAAGTTCATCGATGATTGCAACAAAAGAACAGATAGACTAAAAAGTTACAGATTGTGTTTTTTTTGTGTGATTTTTTGTTTTGTTGTTGAAAAAGTGAGAAAAATTTCGAACCCTAATTCTTCTTGTTTTTAACCACTATCAGATCCATCCCAATACTTAACAAACGTTTTCTGTGAATTACAAGTAGATCTACCTACTGATCTTTTCCCATTCTCATCATCATCACTCTGAGCATGACCATGACCCTGACGATGACCCAACGAGTTTGAATTCCTTAATGCATACACTCGGTCTACAATATCGGCATCATGTAATTCGGCTAATGCTAATTCTTGGGCTCTTTTCAAGATCGATGCTTCTGTTGAATCTTCTTCGTCTTCTAATAATGATTGTTTATGTTGTTCTACTGTGACTAACCAAAGTAATTGTGGTACTAGAATATCAAAAACGTATTGACTTTTTTGTGCATCATCTAATTCTAGAAAACCTGGATCATATTCATTCGATTCCTGTATACAACAACAAAACCAAAACCATCTTAAGATTAGATATTCCACAATGCTTATTATAATTTTGAGGATAAAAGGGTCTTACGGTTGAAGTTAAATATCGATCTCTTAAAAAATGTCCAACTTCTACAATTAACTTTTCAGTATACCGTCCATACTTCACATCACGTGGGATCAAAGATCTACCTTTAACATTTAGTAAAAACGTTTCATGTTGTGATTGGATTGAAAGATCAGTTGATTTTCCTTTTACAATAAAATCGATTTCAGTCAAATGAGGTTCTAAAACTTCAATAAACTTATTAAATTTAATCTCATTAGTTGTCACTTGTCCGATCTGTTCATCAAATTCCAAATTCCAAAACCAAAATCTCAGAAACCCAAATCATTCTGCTTGAACAAAAGATAAGAAAGAAGATTCTTACCGAGACTTGATGAAATTCAGTTTGATCTGAAGTTAAAAAATATGATCGAGGAACTTCAACTTGTGTACCATCACAAAACTTAATATGATAATACTTTTCTTTCCTCGGTTTCACATTCCTTGATCGATTCCCAGGTTGTTTAACAATCTTCAACCCCACATATCCCGTCACTCTAGCAGGCCAATATTGTCCTTTCCGTTTATCCTTTGAAAGGATCACTTCATCATGAATATTAATCTCGGGATCTGGTCCTTCATCTTCTTCGTCTTCATCATCATCAATCTCGATGATCTTATCATCCGAAAGAGTTGAATTAACTGATGCTTCCCTCGTTTCTTGAGTGGATTTCGTTTTAGATACAGCTGATCTAGTTTGTTGAGATAACGGAATCATACAAGTACCTACATCAGGTAATTCATCATCATCTTCATATGCATAAACTGAATGACATTCATATGCGATTGCATAACTGTTGGAAAGACTACGTTCGGTTGGATAATCTCGTGATAAGCCTTTAACTTTTAAGATCGGATTGAATTTACGTGGTTGGAAATCTAAATCGATTATGAATTCTTTGACTTTATTAAAACTTGAAATCAATCGAACTCTTTCTTTAGCTCTATCAATGAAAAAACTTGAATTAGCTGTTTTTCAAAACATTATTTCAAATTGAGTTTTTTTTAAATGAAGTCAACTTACAAAGCTTTAGATTTTTTACCTTTTTCTTCAAAAAGACGTATCATCATTTGATGATTTTGAGATCCTAATTCATCTTGATGATCTATTGATTCAGATTTTTCAATGATCCCAGGCCACCAATACTTTTCCTGAGGTGTACAACCAATATCAGCCCAAACTACTTTACCCACTTCAAATGTTAAATTGATATTCGAATTAGATTGAGTAGGAGTAGGAGGATGAGAAGATAATGGACTAGTTAAGATGATAGGAGATTGATTTGGTTGTCTAATCGGTTTAGGTGAAGGATGATGATTAGATTGTAAAGCGGTTCTTCTTCTCTTTAATGAATGTGGTGTTTGATTTGAATATTGACCTGATTCTTGAGTTTTCTCGGGTGAGACTGGACTTAAACTTGATGATGGTACTAATCGATATAATTCATCTGGTTCTTTAACTTTTTCCATTAGTAATCGAATGATGACATCAGTTTTGTGATTGCATGTTGGTTATGAAAGAATCGAAAAAAGTGAGTTACCTTTCTTTTCATATTCGATTGATGAATCACTATCTACACTTATTGATCTTTTTGAATGGTTTGAAACTTCGGTCTGTTTGTGATGATCTTGAATCTCATCCGTCGTCTCTCCATCGTGGTTTTGATTGGGAATTGTTTCTGGTTGTTTGATTTCGTAGTTAGTGGGTTCTAACATGTCTTGGTGATTGTTGTGAATCTGTTTATGATATTCTGATGTTCCGGTGATATCAGTAGTGGTGGTGGTAGTGGACGTGGTGGTCATCGAAAGTTTGTTTATTCTTTTTTGGTTTTGGTTTTGGTTGGGATCTCCATTTTCCAAACCTGCAGCATACATCCATCATCTGGCTCAAATTTGGGTCGGAGCCGGTGTCACCGTGTCTTACGCGACGTGATCCGAGGTACCGTACCGGTTGCACGGTGCTTTAAAACTTAAATCTTCCTTCCCTGGTCTTTAACGGAGAAGGTTCCGAGAAACCGAATTTTCAAAATTTCTTGACGCAACATGATTTGATATTTTACCACTCATCCTAAATAAAATTTCGTCTCATTCAAATAATCAGATTCCAAAATGCTAGACGAACTACTTGGGTTTCTAGTAACGGAGATGGCCATGGATGGGGAAGAAGGTAAGGCTTACTTTTTCATCAACTTTCGATTTTGAAAACCATATGAATCTAATGAATCTTTGGTTTTTAGGCTGCTCTGTTGCCAGGTTAGATGGATTTATAGAAACTTATCATTCACGTAGATTAGTTCAACATCCATCAGAACCACCTCAATTACTTGATTCTTCTTATAAAAACTTTGTTTGGAAAAAACTATGCGAACTTGATCAAGTTAGACTTGGGGTAGTCGAAATACCTGCTAAACCTACACGAGAAACTCAACAATCTGCTGATACCGATCCTCAAGAAAAAGACGATAGTCCAATGGTGGAAGAAAGTGTAGGAGAAGAAACGACTAGTCATCATCCTTTAGAACTTCCAGCAGTGGTTTCGAACGCTTCAAATCTGATGACTCAACGTAAAACTAGACCAAGTCTCTCAGCAAGCAGAAGAACTTTAAATGAAAAACGTTCAAATTCAACTCAACCAGGTGGAACACCTGCATTAAGTATAGGACAACAACGTGCAATCGAAACAGGCAAAGTTCAAAAGAATAGACTTGTAGATAAAAAACAAAGCGAAAATTCAAAGAAAAAAGTTAAAGAATCTAAACCTACTGCTGCTTCTGTCTCGAGGGAATGGCGTGAACTTGATGCTAATGATATCGGAAGACTAGGGAGAGGAGAATTACTTGCAAGATATGGATCGGATGAAGATAGTGAGAGTAGACTCAGGATCGCGGTAGATCCCATGTCTTGTTGGAGAGCAGTGGTCGGGACTGATATCAGAGTATGTTTTCACTTTCATGTTTCAAAATGAGAATAAACGCGTCAAGCTGACAAATGATCATTCCTACTCTCAACAATCTTGATCACAATACAATCTCACGATCAAGAGTCCTAAACTTACACCTTACGTTTATCAAGTACTTTGTATCGTAGCTCAAGGCAGAGAAGCGGGTGCCACGGTCATCGAACTTGGTCGACAACTAAAGCACGATCAAAAATCTCTATTCCATTTCGTCAAAGTTTTGACCGATATGGGAATTGTCACGAAATTTCGAGCTTATCAACACAAAGCTTGGACTAATCGAGTCGTTCACAAACGATACTTGGCTACCTCTGAGTGGTATAAAGATTTTTTGAAAACTGATAATCCAGCAAAGACAGCACCTTCCACTTCATCCTTGTCAACCCCTGGCTTCAATTTATTTCTAGATGATCCTTTTAACCCTTCGAATCTTAACATTAATAATCAATTCGGTGGGTTTGGTTTCGAGACTCAATTTCCTGGAACAAGTACTTCTACCGCTGCTCAGCTAGGAACTCCTCCTCAAACAATTCAAAACTTGATCGGTTCTAAGAATGAAGGTCAATCAGAGGAACCTCAGGATCACCCGCCCTTGTCTCCTATCACCAAAGAGCATCTAGCTGTCAATGAACCTCTGATCCGATCAAGGATTTGTACAGTCCTTAAACGCAGCGCTCATCATACTATGATTCATGCTGATATCATCAAGGCAATCGTACGTTTCTTTTAAAAATTCAATCTTGGAACCAAACGTGACAAAAACTTGACAAAAGACAAATTATCATGATTCACTGTTTTTACAACCTAGGGAATTGCAGTTCCTTCCAAAGATGAACGTAGACGACTTAATCGACAGATAGATGCTTATATCAAACGTGGCTTTTTGGAAAAAGTGGTCATCTTGAACGTTGCTGGAAATTCCCCCTGTATTCGTTTGACGGCCACCGGTTTATCATCAATGGATGATACAGCTGTCAAGCAGGCGGCCCCTACCCCTGCCGATCCTTCACCTGACGAGCTGGAAGGTGAACTCTGTGTTTTACCATTGACGAGGTCTATCGGCCAAACCCTTTATGGGCTTGTTTCGGAAGCTGGTCAAGAGGGCATCATATACAAGGTGATTAGCTCTTGGATTTTGTTATGATTGAAGTCGTGACTAATGTGTGCATTTACATTTAGGATCTATGTAGAAAATTGAACGATCTCGAATTACGTACCGCTGAACAGATACTCACGAGGATGGAAAGAGACCACCCACCTTCACATCTTGTAGACATGAAGATTGCGAGTGTTCTTGAAACATGTGGACGAGAAAAGCGCGTTCGATGGTTCAGCGCTGATGCTTTGAGAAATCGATGTCAGGCAACAGCTATTGCTTTACCCGATGACCTAGAGAAAGAACCTGTGGAGCATTCAGGTGATTTTATGGATATCCATCCGGTACCGGTCGCTCAATATTTTTATGAAAAAGTTGAAGATTTATATGGTATGATTGTTATCGAACCCAAGGGAGTGTGGGGTAATAGAGCAAAGCGACCTGCCGGTGAACCTCTCATTACAGGCCGACCTAGAAAATATCCTAAAGGAATCACAGCCGCGGAACGTAAAGCTTTGAAAGCAAAAGAAGACTCGGGAGTGGATGTCACCGAAGAGCGAGACGCTTTGACTGCCAAATACGCCCAGAACAATAATGTGGAGTCTAGCACTCCTGTAGATAATGCTGAAAAGGTAAAGGCCAAAAGAACATTACTGCCAGTTCCATTCAAGAGGACTCGGTTACCACCCGCCACCAAGCGCATCACACCTGCTAAGCGAAAACGGAATCGGAAGGATGCGGACTCGGAACCAGAAACAACCGATGAAGAATCAGCGAAGTCATCTCAGTCATCCGAGTGTGGACAGCCAACTGCCCCAAATGCTGATATTTCACGTGAAGACGATGATTGGAGGCCCGGCCCAGAAGCTGAAACTGTGACCCCTTCTTCGACTCGACGGTCATTACGACCTAGGCGTTCAACAACCAATACCGTAACAGTCCCAGTGGAGTCTAATGATCACGATGAGGAAGAGAAACCGAAAGTTGCTCCGGCTGCAGTTCGCAACCGAAAGAAGCAAAAAAGTACTGAACAACCTGCCATCGATCGGCTCGATGGTGATGAATCTCAACCTATTGTCACCAAAGCTGCTGCGCCCGCTGAGCCATCCCAGCCATGTATTTCTCAACTTACAACAATATCAACCTCTTCAGAATGTCAGCCATCGACATCCACATCTTCGTCGTTACCGGCCAGTCCACCTAAAATGCTTCCTCGAACCACAAGATCCTCTGCAAGACTGGGTAAGCCATTGATTTCTTAGCTCCGTGACTTCAGCTTATCACATGAAGCGCATTTCATCGTACTCATATATCCTTGGATTCTTATAACATAGTGGTCGGCTTGTCGTCACGAAACCGTCAAAACTTAACAACTTTGAATCGAGAACAACAGCTATTAGAAGCTATCCGATTTGCCGGTGGAATAGCAGAAAAGACTCAAGACTTGGCAAAAGCAGTCAGAGATTTGGCTGGTCCGGGTCAACAAGCCAGTGCTGCGAACCCTATGGATAGTAGGACTCTCAATACTACACTATGGGCTCTTCAGACTCGAGGCGAAATAAAGGTGACTACTGTGATGGTGCCGGATGCGATTGGGAATCCAGTCCGACGTTCAGTGGTATACTTGGCTAGTATTCCTTTAGACAGTCCGGAGATGATCAACTGGTTGGAGGATTTACGAGCTCGAGATCATATCTTACAAAACAAAGCGCTAAATGTACCAACCAGGAAGCCAGTAGTAGGAGATGGCCCGCTACCTAATACTAATGCAGCGAGGAGAGAGATGAGGAGGACACTGGTTGATGCTTCAGAGGACGCTCTACAAGCTATGTTCAAAAATCAATGGAGATGTATTGCTCAACTCTATGGTTATCAAATGGGACGAGTGGCGCGGGCTCGATCTTTACATCTCTTTCTTTTAAAGTCATTCGAACAAAATTATCAAGAGAGTACTTCCAATTTGTTTTTCAATGGTCAATGTCGCATTTTTGCCTGTGGTTTCCTCTTCCAAGACTTGCCTTTGGAAGTTTTTAATCAGATAGTACCGATCATGTCTCAAAGTGACGAGTTCGAAGCTTACCGAGTAACTCCAGGTGCGATGCAGAAGCCAATGAGTCAAGTACCTCCCAATATCCGACGAATGTTGAAGATCGCACATCAATCTTCAAGAAGGAAAGTTTACGAGGCGGTGGAAGTCTTAGTCCATCTACGTGTCTTAATCCCCTTGAGAAAGTCAACAGAACCCACAGAATTCTTTAGATCGGTACCAAATGCCGAGAAAATCTATTATCAACCTTGTCAGATGAACATGACTGTTGGGCTCTTTAGTCTAGCCAATGAAGCCTTGATTCATAAACTTAGTCAATCACCTCCGACTCCACCACCATTACTCGCCAAGTGGCCGCTTAAGAATGTAGATGATGGGAATTGGTTTTGGACAGAACTTCATCGTGCTTCACTACCCGATCCAGAAGCTCCACCGTTACAACAGAAATTTGAAAGCTTGAATGAAGATGATCAATTCAGTGCTTCTACTGACTCGCATACATTACTTCAACTGTTGACTGATCAATCGAAGTGGCATAGTGAGGTACAATTAACGTGGAGCCAAAGAGAACAAGCTATCAGATTAAATAATAAACACAAATATCCGCCCTTAGATCTTGAAAACGATACGCAAGAAGTCGAACGCCTGGCTCGAATCTTATGTACAACTCCTGAAGCATTTAAAAAGACGATTCAAGCTACTAGGGATTTGGCTGGGAAACGAAAGGCAAAGAAAAAGCTACGTAAGAAAGAATCAGGTTCTGACGCGGAAAATAATAAATTAGTAGACGAAGCTGCACTTAAATTAGCACAAGAAGAAGCAGGAAGAGTCTTGGCGGCCAAAGCTAAAAACTTATTACAACAAAAAGAAGATGATTTCAATTCAATCATTAATCGATTCAAAGCACAATCTGGAATCGATCAGATTGATGAAGACGTCCATGGAGCTTTACATACCCTTTTTATTACCCCTACGCGTGGTATTAATGCTACACAATTGGAATCTGAGCTATCATTATGGCTTAAACGTAGAGAAGAAAAGAAAGACGATGAGCCTGAAACCATTCCTTCGAATAACCGACCAAAAGGAACTCAAAAGCCTGGACAACTACCTTTATTACCTTCAGTACAAGCTAAATTACTCAAGGTGAAGAAAATCAAAGTGCCACCCAAGCCTCATTATGACAGGGGAGCTTTACACAAGTTTCCAGAACGACCTTTGAGATGGAGTGCAATCGCAGCACGCGCTATACGACCTCAACCCCAAGTTGTGATAGGACTTCGACCACCAACAAGTAAGTTTTTCTCCGATATGATATTGGGATCAAGGCGTGGTTCGATGTCAATGATTTGGATGATTTTTGCTTTCTTTAGCTGTAAGCGTACCTGGGAAACGAACTCGTTTAGAATGGACAGACACATTAGATGAATTCTTACGCGATTTAGCAGCCATCTTGCGAGTTCGAGCTTATGCAACTTGTGCAAGTTTATGGCCATGGTCAATTGCAACTAATGTTTTTAAAGGTACAAAACAATCGATTTTAAAAAATCGAATCCGAAAATTAGAACGAGATAAATCAGATAAAATCTATATGGATCTTCTTACCGATACATGGAGTCAATTATATTTTGAAAAACGTGGAAAAGTACCTGAATTATTGGATCCATCACCTACTATGCCTTTAGTCTTAGATGGTGGTTTGGCTTTAGATTATCTTAGATCGAACATTGATAAAGAATATTTAAGATCACAAGTGAATGTACAAGGAGACGAAGATGTTCCATCTGAATTTCCCTTACCTGATACCTTAGAAGAGTTTTATAAAGTATATCAAATCACGCAGTCCTCTAAGCCTTCTGAAAGATGGGATCAGGTTCATCTCTCTGCCAATAACGTAATACGGGAGGATACGATGCTCAGTGAAGCCTTTTCGATGTGTACTGAATTTTCAAATGATTTGAAGGCCGTACCTAATCGACCAACTAGGCAGATCATGAGAGCATCTGAGGCTATCAAGGTATGCTTATCACATTTACTGATCTACTATCACTGGGTTCTAAAGTTGATGAGTGTTTGTTTCTTTCAAGCTTCTTACATCCACTCCAATCGAAACTTACTCCGAACCAGTTGCCACTCGTCTTCTCTCACATTATGGAGAGAATATCTTGATTGCCGCTACCAAGTATTTGCATTCTATGGGTATGATTATATTTGGGAGTAAGGTACATTATAGGAAACGTCTTCCAGGTCGCAGCTATTGTTATTCGGATAAGTGAGTCGCTACTACAATTTTTTCAATATGTTTGAGTTTTTACTAATTTTGGATGGACATCTTAGATTTATCTGCCCACCTGATAATCGAGTTGTTCGACCTAAGCTAGATGAAGCAATGGAACGACTACGTTCTCAGTGTGACGATAATTCTGATGGAAAAGTCAATTGGTCTTTATTTGCCACTGATACAGAAACTGCGGCTCTACTACATGCATTCTCTCAAAACCAAGTAAGTAATCAATCAAACTGAATGAACTCTTCAAATTGATTGTTCTGACTAATATCTGACGTTATGATGGGAAAATAGGTGAGCTTAGAGATCGATGTCTCTGTAAATCGAACGAAACGCTGGAAGGCCAGTTCGATATATCGTACTAGGCAATTAGGAGATGACGCATTAGAAAATAGTGTGAATGTGATATTTAATTCACCAGTCTCACGTCAAAAGCCTGTTATGAGATCTTCATCTCCATCGGAAGAATTTGTAGACTTGGTGCAGACCAAGGTTCAAGAAGCTGGGATAGATGGGATTAAACCTTTGGACTTGGTGGTTAGTCTTTTTATTTTTCAAACGTGATCCAACATTGATAAGAAAATGATGAATGTTTTTGGATTGTTTTTCAATAGAATGATTTATCAAATCGAATGAATGGAGAAGAAGTTGGTGAAACAGTTGAATACATGATGAAAACTGAACCACCTAAATTATATTGGGTAAATGAAAACGAAAATCAAAACATCATCATTTCATCTGATCATTTAATCAATTGGGGTGAAAAGACTAAACCTGAATATGCAGAGATTCATTTATCTTATATGATTCCAAGATTATGGTATGATATTTATGGTGAGATGGTCGAAGAGATTTGGAAAAATTCTTTAGATCGAGTTGAATACATTATTCATAATTTCCCAGGGTTATCAATGGTGAGTGATTTTGATTGTTTTCTGATGATTATCTCTTTTATCCTTCAAGACTGAAATTGATTCGAGTGTTTTGTTTGATTTTTCAGAGTGAATTAGATAGATTAACAAAAACGCATCTGAATTCATTAGAAAGATCTGATGTGTTAGAAGAATTGATGAGGACTGGTAGGATTTCAAATTCTCCACCTGGTCAAACTGCCAACAAACGTTGGATTCGTGGGTTTAGTGATGATCGATTTTGGAGTTTATTTTAAAAAAATGCATTTAAAGATTGAAACTTGTGATTTATATTGATATTTTTGTGACGCTTATGTATAATTGGCTTTTCGGTTGATATTGTTTATAAGTTGTAATTGATTTTCTCAAGAAAAAGTAAATATAGAGTCTTCAGAATTTTTCTTGTTGGTGATAAATTCATTTGAGGTTTTCTTGACGATTTTCTTAGTGGATACATACATATATCATTGATACCTCTTCGGAAAAGCTACGAATCTTATTCAAGTAATCGTCATAAACCTGAGATAACTAACCGGACGCAAGCAGAGCGAGTCATTCCGAAGAGAAGTAGGACGGGTGGAAGGACTTGAAGAAGAGAAACTGCCAAGGTAATAGGGTTAGCTTGAACAGGAGGACCTTGGTTAAAGGAAAAACCAAAGGAAAGTTCTGACTTTTGGCTGAGAGAGATTGTCGATAGTCTGAAGGGCTGATTGGCTTTGAGGCCAGTCTCTCTTCTTATGGTCTTCGCCGCTAGCGTCTGCTCTTATCTCTTAAAAGCTCCCCTACGCCATCGGCGCTGGACCGGTGCGCACAGGTTTGAACTCACGCGGCACTAGTCTCCTATATAGCCAGGAAGTGAGTGCATGGACAGTGACTGTCGTAAAGATTTGTCTGCAGACTCTGAATCTCGTTTACTTTCCACCTTTCAGAGTCACCTACTTCAAGAGGGATCATGCCTTGAAGCAGAGAGCTGCCACCTGCTGCCACATGTAAAACATATGATGCAAAGCAAACCCAGAACATGGGTTTGTTCTGTAGGATTTTCACTCGGAACCTTTTGTCAAGATGTGTAACCGAACAAGCCCTTCTTGCATGTACCAAACCTTTGAAATTTTGACTTTCCTAGATCAGCATCATATGAAAATTTTCCTTGGACAAGGGTGATACTTGTATCTGTGGACACGGTAATCAATATCGCTTATTGCTCTATGAGACACGTTCTATCACCAGAATGAGTGAAAGATGAGTGCTGAGATTTGATTACATGAGTTTGATGAAATTTGATCATGACCAAGTCATCAAGAATGGTCCTTGGCAGGTTGGCTTTGAATGATACACGACATACTTTCTTGCAATTTTGATTCAAGCTCCTTGGGTGTCAAGCATTGGCGCCCAAGTATTTTCTGAATTCATGAACATGTAAGGCTTCATGAGCCATGTCGGAACAACGCTTGAAAAGTATCTCGACTGTATTTGAACCTTTGATTCTCACATCTATCATAAAAGCACTATCCCACTTTTTATATCGGCGGAAATCATGACCCGGCAAGGAATAAGTTAATGTGGGACAGAGATGAGTATGCCACGTTTGCAACACATCCTATGTTATTTTTCATATGGAGAATTAAGCAGTGAAATATAAATCAAAAGACAATTTGAATGAATTCCAGATTCAATAAAGATGAAAGTACATAAGAGAAATGCAAAAGATTTTCAAGATGGGGTGGTAATGATATCAAACAAATCTTGGAAAGCTACAGACGCTCTCATCAAAGTACACGTGATTCACAACGCCTTCTATACAGCTCAATCGCTCTTCAGGATCTTTTTTCAACAAGGATTCAACGAGGTTTCGGAATGTAGGGACATCATATGGCGAGAATTTCACGTCCTCGGTTAAGATTACATGATCCAAGCCTGGTATGGTAGCTGTAAGGATTTCAAGGATATGTCAGTCACCGAAACAGTTGATGGAGGGTTAGTAAAAAGAACATACGTGAGTCAAAGGGGTCTTTGTTCGTGACTATCGCGTATAACGTTACACCCAAACCCCACCAATCGATGGAGTTGGTAACGCCGTGTCCGAGAATTACTTCCGGTGACCTTGCGTAGGGGGTCCCGCCTGCGATGGGGGCCCAACCTGACGAAGACCTTACTGCAATACCAAAGTCGGCGAGTTTGATGCGACCATCGGAACCCAAGAGTATATTTTCCGGTTTGATGTCACAATGTATTATGTCGTTTTGATGAAGGAAATCTATCGCTTCTGCTATCTCTAGTGTGTATCTTCTTGCTTGTCTGTGTGTGACAGGGGCTTTATCTCTCAGACACCCGCCAGCTGCGAATTCTAGTACAACATGGAATTCTTCTTGTAGGCGGTAGTGAGCAGAATATCCAATGATGAGGGGATGTTTGAGTTGTTTAATCAAATCGATCTCTTTCCTTATTGATTCGTCTTGCGAGCGACCTTGTTCATCATGACGGTGTATAACTTTGACTGCATAGATAGATTGATCCGATTTCGATTTCGCTTTCCAAACCGAAGAGAATCCCCCATAAGCTATCATACCCAAAGATGTGTAATCTCCGCCTGCTAGAACGATATTGTACGAGGGACTTACTTGACGGTCTGAAGTGGTACGTGATCTTGATAGGCTGACAGGGGTTGAAACATCATTGTTACTCATGATGAGTAGTGTTTTTTTGTCGATAAGAATTTGTAGAAGAGTTTAACGTGTTTTGGAAGGCAAGTAGTGATGCAGAGTTTATACGTTGAGTAATGTAGGAGACTTGAATGTGGATCAGTGATAATGGGGCTGCTTGACCACAAGGCTTTATATACAAATGAGAATGCTGATCCCACTCCAGCGTACTGATGCTGGCCAGCTCGAAGCATTTAAAAGCAGTGCAAAATGCCGAGTAGGCCTTTGCTGAATGAGAGTAATGCACATATCTGCAATCGTGGTCGCACTTTTGATGTGCGTCAGAATCTTGAAAGGGCGCGGAGATGTTGCCCCTCGGACCAATGTCAATCTACATTTGCTACAAATTTGAATAGTCGTAAGTGGGCTTTCTCGTCGCTTTAGCACTTTGTATGCTCGCTGAACACACGTGAAAAGCATTTCATTAGGCCCCCGCAGAGGATGGTGACATCAATTTCTTGTTGCGCTTGAGATCACAAAAGTTCTTGTTCACATCGTCCTCATATCGGATGAGGACCTGAACCGTCATCACGTCGGAATTTGCGTTAAAAGAAATGCTTCACCTCTTGAAAAAGCTCTCCACGCCAATGGTATAGTCTTTTCGAGGAACTCGCCGAATGTTGCCAAATATACATCTACACCCGAATCGAGCAACAGCTTGTATGTGGCTGATAGGAGATATTCTCACAAGGCGTGAATCAAATGTCAGGATAGCCCGAGTGCTTTTGTTTTGAGGTCTCAATAGTTTTTACTGGACTAGTCATCGAATCTGATTCAGCTAAGAGCGATTGTTGACTTCATAGATATTCGCGAGATCACGCGGGGTTGATGCTAGCAAACGCGTCTCCTGCGAAGACAATGTCATATTTTCGAAATTAAACCCAGACTAGTGGCATGAAAGCGATTATGGAAGACTTGATCTCGAACACAATCGGTATTGTAAACATGCGATTCAAAACGCAAAACAATGATTAAACCTTTTCCCGTTTCAAGAGATGTAGATTATGGTTACAAGAGCCCCACTGATGACCGCTAATGCTATCCAGGAAACGGGGAACGGCAAATGCGATCAAGTATGAATAAAATGACAAATTTAAAAGCAAACTCGACAAAAGTAGCAAACTCGAAAGGTTTGAGGGGAGGTCGATTGCTAACAAATCTTCATTTAAATTTTGAGCGACAAAACCGAAAATGAAAGTTGAGGGATACTTCTTGTTGTTGTTCGCTCTACCCGATGCACAATGCTGCAGTCTCCACTTCGTTTCAAAGAGCCTTCTGAGGCAGTGGGATCGGGGTCTTGCAGGTCTTCATCAGAGCAAAAAAAGATGGGCCAGGGCCCTGTATCCATCCAGCTTGAAATAAAGTGGGAAAGCGACTTCATCAACATCTTGACAAAGCAAATTCTTGATTTCTACGACTTCTGGAGCAAGCGCCTTTAAGTTTTTTCCTTCACGTCCATCGTTTTTTGGAACTTTTCGTGGGTGCGTTCAAAAGAGGGGAAAAGCGGAGCACCTGCTTCACATGGTCCAGGTGAGTATAATCAAAATCTACCTTTAATATCATCAGTTGATCTACACTCTTAGCGAGCGTCCACTTTTTGTGGGAATTAGCCGGGGTATGGAGCAAGCCATTTTCAAAAAAAAAAACTTCGAAATATGTTACGCGATTGACAAAATGAGTCAACAAATGCTAGAAACATCGTTCGAAAATTAAATCTCGAGCAACTTGATAGTTTGGCAGTTGAAGGTATCTAACTGCCCAAGGCGCAATAGCCCGTTGTCCCAATTCTCCACCTTGCATATTGTATATATGTATCCAATTGCCCAATGGTCAAGTATGATCCCAGCTACTCCGTGAAGCCTTTCATTGTTCGAAGCCAATTCCTCATCTTTCACGCCCCTATGACCTCTCAGGTCAATCATGTCTTGGAACACAAAACAGCCACTCCTGACTATTAATAATGAGACAAAGCGTCATTAAAAAAGGTACCAAGGGTGAGATTGAGTTGTAAGTGAGCTTTATAGATTTCAGATGGTGACAAATCTAAACCAAACACAATTTGATGTACTGGTTGCTGGACATGTTGTTCCTTGCCTATGGATCCTTGGTGAGTTCTCTCTCAAGAGTTTCTCTTCCTCCACAAATGGCTCTGACTGGGTATTAATCACCTTTTTGAATTTGTCTCCTATCAAGATCAGTAATGTCTTGTGAGTCAACCCAGAATTTGAGATGAATCATGATTTTGTGAGTGTTGTTTGGGTTTGAGGCCTGTGGTTTGAGCCAATTCTGGAAGTTGTGATTGTGAAGTTTCATAATTTGCTCATGTTGTGCTTTGTCCTGGAACATTTGAACATCCTAATTGTTGCTGCTCAGTTGGTGGGTTTGACTCCCTGTGGACATCTTGGTGGTCTGCTGATGCAACTGGATACATATGGATGGAGTTGCTATAGTTGGGAAGTCCAATGCTATCTACAAGATATTCAGCCCTGCCAGATTTCTTGGGAGGCATAATTTAAACAAGAAAAGAAGTTCTAGGGCATTAAAGGATTACTATGTGATTTGTGGTATTGATACTAAGTTTGGTATTCTATTTACTAATCATCCCGGTGGCTATAGTATGTGATGTCTCCAGAGTATTTGGTGTCATGGTATGGGTCTGGGCTAATGCGCCTTGGCTGCTGGTAGTTGTGGATGTGGTAGGGGATGTCCCTAATGCCTGCTGGTCTGTTGGGTGGAGCTGTTTGGCTGGGGTTGCTTTGTGCACTGAATTGTGCTAAAACTAGAAGAAAAGAAGAAGGTGTGTTTTAAATGGTTAGATTTAAAGGGACCTGTAAAACAGAATTATTTCTTGAAAGAAGTGAACTAACTTGATCAGTTGGCTTTTGAGTTGTGTGACCAACTCCCTCATTTTCCCAAAGACTTTTATGAGCTTGGCTGACCTCACAGCTACTAGAAAATCTCTCATAGGAATTTCAAAAAAATGGAAGATAACAAAATCTGAAAATATTTTTGTAGCCTTTTTCTAGACACAGAAAAGATAATGTGGAACCAAAAAAACAATGATAAAATGATTCAAATGCTTCATTAGTTTTAAGTTCTAATCAATCAATGAGGCTCCCAATTTTCAGGGTGGCTGATCTCCAAAAGGAACTCTAAGGCATAGACTTACAAGTTTGAAGCCCTGACAACTACTAAACTCTGTTTACAAGGGATAGTGGGAAGCTATTAACTAGCTGATGGCTCACCAGGTTTTCTGAGAGTAAGAATTCAGATACCTTCCTGTGATTTTATAAGGGAACAGCAGTGTACCGTAGGATCAGGATTATGGACAATAGTAGGACACACCCAAGCCAGTCCAAATCCTTGTAAATAACATATCTTTGAGGTACCCTGTAAAAGAACAGAGATCCTTTCAGCAAAATGTGACAAGCACTGCCAGCAAAGATACCTTGGATTGGAAAATACAAGGCATCCTCGGATCTACATTCCCTTGGACTGTGTGTCCAAGGAATCAATCCAAGGCTTTCTTTGGACCCGGATATTGCCTCGGATCAGTTACTCAGACACACAGTCCAAGTCTATTGTCATCCGAGGATACCTTGGATTTCACAATCCAAGGCATCTCTGTTGGCAGTGAAGAACAACATCAAAATGACCGGTCTGAAATCTAACTACCAAATAGATGGATGAGAATACTTAGCACTAGGACACCCAAAGTAAGCAGGATGGGATCTATGGCTGGAAAGGTGTGGAACAATGGAGAAAAATGTGCAAGGGAACAAAGTAAGGTCCATAGTGAAAAAAGGAAGAAGCTTTTAGTAAAAGCAAGGGAATGGTTTTGAGAGTTTTGTTTAAACAGAACAATGCTTTAACAAGCAATACTCTGAAGTGGAACTGACACTTGCTGCTGGGGTTTGATAGCAACAACCAGATAGTTGGGCTTTGAGAACACATATTTTCTTGATAGAGATTATCTATACAAAGAAGGTGAGTGGTTAAAATCAGATGCCATCCTTTTTTATGCTGGATCAAAAGAATTCTATTTATACCTTCTTCCTCCCAGCCACCTTCTTGTGGTTGTTGAAGTTGTTCTTTTGCCTGGAGGTCTTGACAACCTTAGTGATTACACAAGACCAGGTTCAGTTCAAAGTGGGACACATCCATTGCATGCCGATGCCTCTGTCTAACACACATGTCACTGAGAATTTGGGGCCCTCCTATTTCCTTGTTGATTTGACTCTAGCCTTGTTCCCATCTGGTAATGGTGAAGGTATCATAATCTACCTATCACATTATTTGAATTTTCATATAAATTTTTGATTAGTTCCATTTGTAAAGGTTTTTATACACTCTGTGTTTGTAGATTACAAGTATCTCAAGATAGGACAAGTTTCCAAATAATTGTTTTCCCTGTTGAGATATGCTCTGAGACTACATCCATAAGTTGTATTTATGTTTTTCTATTAAATTTATTCTATTTGGTTTGATTCTTTCAATTTTCTCTTGTACTTGAAGTACTTTTGGTTCTCTCTTTGGGAGAAATCATGTGCTGAAAAACACACTTGTCCTACCAATTGAAGCAACCAATAATGGATGATGTTTAGGCATAAAGATCCTAAGAAACCAGTTATACCACTGACAGTTATATTACCAATAGAACTCAGTGTCACAAATTCCATCCAATTTGAAAGCGGATGGCTGTTGAGATGAGTTGGAGCTGGCATTCTTAAAATTGATAATAGAGGAATCAGTTATGGGCTCATAAAACAAGGGTCATTTGTGCTACTCTTAGTGTCCCGGGGGCCTGGAATTGCATGTGTGTTTGACCCGGGGTGGAAGAAATAGATCAGGAGCAATGTGGGTGGCCACACTTGGCAGTGAGCTACCCCACTGTTGATGGCTTTGGATCCAGAAGTATCACATGCAGCTAGGCATAGAGTTTCAAGAATCAGGATCTCTCTGACATCATTGGAATGTACTACTGTTGGAGAATGACATTGTTGGGTATTGTTTCAAATTCAATTCAGTGGAAAACTACATTCTCCTGAAGTGTTTCAAAACCATTAAGACATATTATTCTTAGTTGATTTGGACCAATCCGGATGGAAGGAAACTAGTGGAGGATATGAAGGCTGTTGGGTGTAGTAGGAAATGAAGAAGTGTTTGGAAGAAACTTTACGCATTGGGATTGATTGGGTGTGGTTACTTAGTTCTTGTTGTTTTGTATTGATTTGTGTTTTTCTTTGACTTGATTATTTTTCCCTTATCATCCTGTCTCTCTTTCCCTTTTTAATCTTTTTCCCCCATCGAGGAATTAGATTTTAAAGGTGAGATTTAAAATAATTCTCTGTGTCCTTTATATTAAAAGAGCATCCGTGTTGATCTTACAAATCTTTTCACTTAATTTTCTCTCTATTATACTCTACTTTTTCTTCTTCAGATTTTTCTTTTCACATCATCCTCGTTCCTGCATCCAGGTCCGTATCGAGTTTAGCACTCGTGTTAATTGTTCTCAGCTAGTTGTCTCGTCAACAACAAGGCTGAATATTTTCTTCACCTTTTTAAAAAGGTTAGTATTGTCTTTGTAAATGTTTACCATCGAGGAATTAGATTTTAAAGATTTTTCTTTTCACATCATCCTCGTTCCTGCATCCAGGTCCGTATCGAGTTTAGCACTCGTGTTAATTGTTCTCAGCTAGTTGTCTCGTCAACAACAAGGCTGAATATTTTCTTCACCTTTTTAAAAAGGTCCGTATCGAGTTTAGCACTCGTGTTAATTGTTCTCAGCTAGTTGTCTCGTCAACAACAAGGCTGAATATTTTCTTGACCTTTTTAAAAAGGTTTGTCCTAGATTCACAGCGTCGAGCGTGTAATCACCATTTTCTTACAACTACCGTATTCCTACTACCTTATTTGTACTTCATTAGAGATATTTTTGCCCATATAATGTAACCTCTTTTGCTGTGGAGAGGGATCTTCATGCAACTTCTCCAAAATACCCACCCAAACAAGTTCTTATTGTAAATTGCACTATGGACCTCTTTATATGACTTCAAATGCCTTGGTGTATGCAAGTATGTTGATGTGGGTTGTGTAAGGGGCCCAAGCACCTTTTCAAATTTAGACTCCAGACTCACTTCATTAAAGAGGTTTGTGAGTGATAGGTGAGAAAAAGTTTAAATTTTGGTATCAGATGTCTCACAAGTCCCCACCAAATTGCAATGATTCAGAAATTCCAGTCAGTAAATTTCTTGAAGAATATCTAAATTCCTCAAACAAGCTCCATTCACCCAAAGATATTGTCCACAAAGGTGGTCAAGGCCTATTACAGCTACACCACTCTCATACTCACCTGCGGCATGCTCAACATTGATACCTCTGCCATGGGCATGCTACAACACCACCAATAAATAGTTGTTCAAAGTCAATATTCAAGTAACTTTCAAGTTATGATAAATGATAATTGATTTTATTCACATGGCAAAGAACATCATGGTACAAAAGGATCATGGAGCAGAAGTGTATCTCCTTTTTAGTGTGTCTTATTTGTTATGTATGGAGCGTCGACTGCAGCAGTGGCCACTTGCTAAGGTTCACTGGACTCCAGCTCGCTGCTAGACACTGGCACAGAAGAAATTGCACTTTGTGAAACTTACCAAAAGTGCCAATGCCAATGTGTAAAACACAGATATGATGTCGTTCAATCCAATAGTGGACGTGATCTTGACGTGCTGCGAGACATAAATCTCCCTCACACCATACAGCTGCGGTGCAGTACCCCAATCCCCTACGGCAACGGTTCAACACCAATTAGCGGACAATTCTCAGTGTTATGTCGATCGTTGAAAGACAATCAAGACAAGTTGTTACAGGTGTCATAGTTAAGTGACAGGTGAAGGATGAGATGTTACGGGTTTCTTTTTTTATCTAATCTAAGAGTGGTGTTAGCGATATGATGTAGTGTTTTCTTGTCTCAACCAATTATGATGTAGATCAATCCCAACGTGTTTGTCTTTCATTATTGTTTTTAGATATATACGCAACCCTGTGCCAGCAACGCAACGCACCGCAACACAAGTGTTTTTTGGTGTGTTGCTCCGCAACACGCAGCACAAACCTGCATTACATGCTGCGCTGCGGTAAGTACCGCAACAACAAATGGTGAGGTCAGGTTGCGCGGCGCCTTGACCGTCGCGCAACGCAACAGGCGCAACAGCGCCAAAAAAACGCCGAACTGTGATTTTTTTTGGGCAGCAACGCAACAAATGTTGTTGTGGCCCAAAAAATCCATCGATTTGACAAATGATGTTGCGCTGCGGGTCAGGCCGCAACCTAGAATTTGATTCTATGTTGCGCTGCGGTCAGAGAAACCGCAACGCAGGCGCAGCGCAACACGCAACACCTGCGTTGCTGGCCCAGGGTTGATATACGTTAGCAACTCCCCCCATCTTACTCTCTTTTCCTCATCTATTGGAAAGAGAGTAAGTATTTCTATCATCATCATTATCGTATTACCACTAATACTGTTACATCGGTAGAAACCTTTAGATCAATATCTGAGCCATCTTTTTCGCTCTTAACTCATCTTTTCTCGTTTTTATTTATTCCTCCGAAAACTTAGGTACATTGATAATCATTCTTTTACTTATCTTTTTCACTTGTATTAACATCTTATTATTTTGTCTATTTCTATAACTGTTTGTTGTTCAGGTTAGTCCCGCGTCTGCATACGTGTGGAGTTTGGAGAAGTGTGCTTACAAATAGCACAATATTATCAGGTTAGCTATGATTGAAATTAATAATATCTATTGGAAAGAGAAAACCTTTAGATCAATATCTGAGCCATCTTTTTCGCTCTTAACTCATCTTTTCTCGTTTTTATTTATTCCTCCGAAAACTTAGGTTAGTCCCGCGTCTGCATACGTGTGGAGTTTGGAGAAGTGTGCTTACGAATAGCACAATACTATCAGGTACTAGCGGTGTCTCTAGCCATTTACATCGATGGGCGTTGTAGGGTGTCCATGTAGAATTATTGTCTCTGCACTGCTGATGAACCACCCAAATTCAACTCCACTTCGTCGCTCTTCATGTCCACCCACACCTTGCAAGAATGTACCTGGAATGATTCAGCCTTTGTCTGATGGCTGGGCTACTATACCACTTCCAGGTGTTTTGTGCAGAAATGGTAAGACTTTGAAGAATCAGAGCACAGGAAAGACAAACCAACAACCAAAGAAAAATCAACAAACGGTGAAATCAAAACGGGCCAGAGAAAAATCATCAAAACAGGACTCACAGGTGGCAAGCCAATCTTCATGATCCCCATCTTGTGCATTTTTATTAAGGCTGATGAGAGTGTCTAAACTCTAACAATAGGGATTCAAGAAGAATGTCCCATCGGAGGACAAGATGAACCAGGACTCCGATGACAACCTGAATTACCGACAGGCAGCAAAAAAGGCCAAAGTTCTCATAGAAGCTGTATCAGAGGATGGGTATGATGATGTGACGGATTACTTTGCTGAACCTATTTATGAGGGAGATGATGTAGTTCTTTAGGTTATTTTCTTCCAAGCCTTTTATTAGCTGCTGATATCTGTTAGATGTTTGACAATGACAGGATTGATCACTGCCGGCCATTGCCTACCCCTGCCTTTGGTGTACTAAGAAGGCGGGTCGTGCTGCGTATGACTCACTTCGTAATTTGAAGATACATCGTGATGGATCTGTGGGATATGTGATATGTTCTGTCCTATATGTACACTTCCTACGGCTAAGGTTGTCAGTGCCACTCGCCATCCCGGGTTGCCATCCCAGTGTTAGGCATGTTTCTCCACACCACATTCACTTGGACACGCGCACTTAGCTCAGTGGTTAGAGCACCCTCCTAGATATAGGGATCAGGTCGTGGGTTTGAGTCCCGCAGTGCACATTTTCTTTTCTGACATTCTAATAGGATCTTCAGGTAAACAAAATCAATACCCATGTAAGGGGTGACAACACACTATCAATGCTGGGGCCAAACCGCCTCCTTCAGCTCACAAGGCCAAAGCAAAGAAAGTCAATGATAATCAGAAACAGATGTCTGAATTCTTTGAGTCTAAGGTTAGTTTCAAAAACGAAGTCCTCAATCAAATACTGGCAGTTTGGATACTTGGGCAAGCTCTTCTGTGGAATTGGATCAAGGGTATCACTTGCAACTGGCCTTTTGGTACGCTAGACGTGATGCCAAGATTTTTGGCCGCACATGGGTCAGCAGGGAAGCTGCTGGTATGTATGTGTTGTTCCAAGACACCGTTTTGAAGGAAATTGCCGTAAGTAATTTAAATCATTTCTTAAGTGAGGCTTTAAAGTGTGTGAAACAATTTGTTTGTTACTGATTTAGTTTTTCAATTTGAAAGGGAAATGTGGGCCGCTTTACCCTCACCCACGACGGTCGGACAACACACAACAAAATCCATGCGTTTTTAGGCGCTGCTGTCACATTCATTGACAAGAATTGGGACTACCAAGTCCGCCATCTTACTCTTAAACTTGTAGCTTGGCACCACAATGGTGAATGGCTCGCACAGCCACTTGTGCACTTCATGAAAAAGCAAATGCTTCAACATAAGATAAGTAACTCTTATTTTTTTGTTTTTTGGACCGAACCACTTGAATCCTCACATAATCTTATTTATCTACATGCTTGCCCAGGTGACCAATTTGGGATCAAACAATATCACAATGGCAAAGGAAATGCACTCACAGTTTCTGAAGGAGGAGGTGCAGTGATCTCAAGCCAACCTCAACACAGCAGCTGATCCAACCTCACCCAGTCCCAATCCAGCCGCCAAGCTCCCATCTTACACATGGAACCCAGATACCGACTATGCGAGGTGTTTCCTTCACAAGGTTTCCTCAACTGTCAAGCGTGGCCTTCAGGAGCTAGGGCGCACAACTCCATCACAAGCTCAGCAACGTGAATCTTTACTTGGTGTATTTCCAATTCCTGGAACGTTACCAGTCATTGCCAAAGAAGAGGACAGCAAATCAACAGAAGTTATCGTCATAGACCCAGAAGATGAAGATAATGATTTACCTTTACCTGAATCATGACTCTGAAGGTGAAGATTTGGATCTGAATGCTCCAGATTACGACAAGGATCATGAAGCACAACTCGATGAGGAGGATCCCAAGGTTTCCAAAACTAGTACAACCAAAGTGTTCCAGAATAGTGCATCACGGAAGCACGCAAATTGTCTCAATAATTTGATCTCTAAGGTACATATGTCTTTTTCAGTTAATGTTGTTCTCAAAGTTTGACATGTCCTCTCAACTTAATCAGGCAAATTTTATATCCCGCCGGGTGGCTCGTTCTGCAGCGTGGAGGCAACATTTTGCAAGAGTGGCAAAGAGCATGAACCTGAAGCTGTTACCTTTAATACCGGGGTACAATCAAACTCGTTGGAATTCAGAGTTTGACTCTCTCAATCGGTTGGTTCAAGGACAAAAGGTGAGTGATCAAATACAATACCTTTTGTCACACTGTCTGTGATCTCATTTGTTACTTCTCATATCTGTGTTTAGGTTATTGACAAGCTTCTTGCTGAGGACCTTGAGCGTGTCAGGTCTAAGAAAAGACGTACAAAAACGACTAAAAAGCCTTGTGGATACTTCCACAAGATCTTTCTTGCTCCAGACGACTGGAATTCTCTTGAAGAACTGACCAATGAACTGTCTGTAAGTGTTCCTATTGAAGTCGATTAAATGGGTCAAGAGCTAACATTTTAAACAGCCCTTCTTGGATCTAACCAACAGAATGGAGGGCGATGGACCGACTGGATCAATGGTCATCCCTGAATTCTATGCTCTCAAGATGCATCTCACCGCTCATGCCAGCAAACTTTTATTGGGTGATGTGCTTCTACCCATGATTGCTTCGATGCAGGCTCGTGTGGACAAGTATCTAGACAAAGCATTAAGATGCGACGCAATGGTTATGGCCAGTCTCCTGAACCCTTTCTTTCAACTTCAATTTTATGAAAAAGCCTTTGGTTCACAACACAAACACACTATCTGAGCCCAAAATCTCTTTCAAACCAAATTCAACGAGCAAAAGGCAGAGCTTGGCTCATTGATCATTAATCCTACAGTTCCCCCACCTACTGCTCCACCAACAAGATCTGTAGCCGCCAATGTCTTTCATTTATTCAAAGCTCAAGAGCCCTTGGTGCAGCCTGATGAAGTTGCCACCTATCTTAAGGGAGCACATCCAATGGGACTCACTGACAATGCACAAGAACACAAGGCTATTCTACCCGGGTGGAGGGTACATTCTTCCTGTAGTATACATTATACTACTATTGTTTACCTACTTGTTGTATTTGCAGGTCAATAGTAATGCATTTCCAGTGCTTGCATTGCTTGCAAGTGATTTTTTGAGTCTCCCAGCAAGCTCAGCCATAGTCAAACAATCCTTTTCAGCAGCAGCCAATATTTGTTCATCTGATTGGGTCCGTCTTGTTCCACGCACAATTGAGTGCTGTGTTGGTTCGCGTCTTTGGATACAACAGGGAGTTCCTCTGGCACATAATATACCGAGGTAAACAAAGCCATTCTGGCATTTGGTGGCAAAAAGAAGAAGTAAAAAAGAGAATATAAAATATCAAAACAAAAAGCTGTAACTCTAAATATGATATTAAAATAATCAAAGTATTTTTTCTTGGCTTGCAATCAAGCTGAGCCTTCAATGCTTTACGCGCATCACATCACATCAAGATTTTGCAATGCCGATGCAATGCGCCTCTGAGCCCCTCAAAAAACCCAATGTGATGCGTGCAACAGCCCCGTTGCACACATCACATCGCATCAGCCCAACGTTGCACAGAGGTACAAGCACAAAGATGTACATTTGTACATGCATACAGCTTCCTCAATAAAAATGTTGCCTTTCAGATCCATGGAAGCCTGAGGCCAGCCCCGGGGCTCTATTTATCACAGCCTTCAACATGCAGAATTTTTTACCAAAACACTATGGATGAATAATTTGAATTTTGGCCCACACCAGCCTGGTAGAACCAAGGGTGAAACTGTTAGAACCTGGTAAGCTTGGAGATGCAAGAGAGGCTTCAAGGGTGAAACTGTTGGAACCTGGTAAGCTTGGAGATGCAAGAGAGGCTTCAAGGGTGAAACTGTTAGAACCTGGTAAGCTTGGAGATGCAAGAGAGGCTTCAAGGGTGATCTGAATAGCTAGATGAATTGCTAAGTGAGGGAACAGTCTACTAGCATGAGGAATAGACTAAAGACAACCCAGTTCAGTACAAGCATATGAGGTTAAGTGTATAAGCCTTGTAAGAGTCAGATCATAACAGCAACTATACTATACCGGTATAGGTATAGTTGGTTACAGTAGTGTTTACACCATACTATACTATACTGGGTATAGTACAGTTGAACTATACTTTACCCAACTATACTCAGTATAGTATCCTTTCACCAACTATACTCAGTATAGTATCCTTTCACCAACTATACTCAGTATAGTATCCTTTCACCAACTATACACAGTATAGTATCCTTTCACCAACTATGCCTGGAAAAGTGTTATATATGTTTTCCATCAACTTATCCAACTATACTGCACAGTATAGTTCGGTATATCTGAGTATAGTTCATCTATACTATACCGAGTATAGTTCAAGTACAGTATAGTTTGACTATACTATACCAAGTATAGTCAAGTATAGTATAGTATAGTATAGTATAGTTGCAGCCTTGGTAGAACCCTAACCCTATACAAATTGGCTGGTTATGGATCTGCGCAGGTCTGCATTTGCATGGGTCTGTATTTGCACGGGTATGCATTTGCATGGATTTGACTGCATTAATTTGGATTAAGGCACACCAGAAATCCCAGAACACAACTCAATATCATGAAGGTACCTACAATTGTAGTCTCATTGAGCTTGTTGGATGTAACACAGCCAACAAATTTACCTCAGATTGAGGAATCTGAGGTATCATTGGACTCATATCCTTGGACAGAATCTTTCCAAGCTTTTGATCTGAGGTATTTTTTGCGCCAAAAGATACCTCAAATCAAATCCTTGGACAAGCTCTGTCCAAGAGGTTACATATGATGATGCCCCAGATCCTGAGACCTGAGGCATCTATGTTGGCAATGTGATTTAAATAATGCATCATTACCAAGAAAATTATTTTGAACCTTTCTCTATCATTAAGATATTTCAATTGGAAAGATTTCAATTTATACATCATTCACATGATCTTCTCATGATGATGTGGTCTATTTGAAAGGAATGGGAACATTCTCACTCAGTAACTGCTTTAAATTACTCATTTTATTTGATCTCTTCATTGCAGACATGATGTTTCTTGTCTTTTATCTAGGCTAAAACAATTTTCTTTCTACTCACCTTGGGAAAACACTGTTGCCTGTGTTCTTTGTCTCACTTATTGAGGACGTATCAAGAATACCAAGTACTATATTTGGACACTTGCCTGAAGCGCCTCCTCTCCTCTTCTCAAATCACCTGAACCTCTGCCCAATCCTCTCCGTGTTGGAGGCTGACCACCACCTCTACCAAGACCAAAGCTCTGGTTATCTCCTCTTCCTCCAAAGCTTCTGTGTCCACCACTTCCACTGTGAAAACTGTCTCTGCCGTGAGTGTTTTGATTACTTCCACTAGCCAAATGTGAGATCAATCTTCCACAGGTCACCACTTGAATTGGGAATCTGAATTATTTGCTGCCAGATCCCACCCTATGTGGTAACTTCCTGTCCATGGGAATATGTATTTCATTGCCCCTCCAATCTGGTATGGGTTATCTGGACACAGGTGATCAACATTTGCCTTTGAGTCAGAGCTTGCTCCCATAAAACCTTGTTCTTGGTTCCAACATCTGATAACATTCTATCTTGGATCAAGTGGCCCCACATGTTAGTCCGGTGAGTAATATTGTTCCCAACTGGAGCCCAGGCTTGGTGAACTTTTGACTTAAGACTTGGTAGGATCTTTTTGTGCACCTCTAGTCTTGTTGCAATGTCTTCTCAGTTGTATGATTCTCCCCAGTATTTCACACATAGGTCAAAGGAGTCTGGCCACTGTAAGTAATTGTTGCCAGTCATTTGGCACTTTCATTCCTGTATACCAAATCATGTCTGTACAAGGTTTTTCTGGTGTTGATCTAGTTGTCATATGGGCCTTGTCTGCTTGTAGTCAAGTCATATCCAAGACTGTTATTTTGAGGTGACCACTTGTGTTGGTGAGTTATGTTTTGTCATCTGGTGTCACAAACAGTTGTGGGAGTCATTGACTCCAGTCAGTATCATTCTATCATCATCTCTAACTCTTTTTATCAATTATATTCTGAGAAATAAAGTTTTTAAAGGGTTTAATTTTTCAGGAAAACATCATGGCCACTCTTTTCATATCACTACAGTCATATCTTTGGCTATATCTGCCTTCTTGGCCACACTTTATATCTTGGCCATACTTCTTATATTGTATGTTTCACTTTATATTTTGGCCACTGTTTCACATCCCAGTCACACTTTCTCTTTGTCAGCTCAAGATGAGAGTAGATGACTCAAGGCCTACTAATCTCTACTACTACAAAGTATGTGGAGGGGTGATTTACGCAATTGATTTGGATGAGGAATTATTTCTGGGCAAAAGCAGTATCACACAAAGGACTGCAGTTCTTGGAAGCTGCAGCCTGTCAAGCTTGGTGATATGGAGAAGAAAGTTGAAGAATTTAGGTAGGTGTGATGTTCTTGTGGTACTTATATAGACTGATGTTGCTTTTGCTTCTAATTCCGTCTTTTCCTCCTGCCTTCTGATTACCATCCTCAGGCAGTGTGGTTAACTCTTCTTCATTTTCACCTCATTTACCACTGTGCCTCTCTTCGCCTCTTGCTCTTCAATGATTATTTTCTGATTCTCCGCCTTCACTTCCTTCTTTGTCTGTTGTTTATTCTTCCTTTGGATACCTAGCATTTCCGTCTACATCGAGGTAACTTGGGAGCCGGATTTTGAGGATATTGTGGGATCGGTGATGTTGAGGTGGGCGAGTGTGAGAGTGGAATTCAACTTGGTGGATGATGGTGTGTGGTGTGTCTCGCAAGGAAAGACTCGGATGGGGTGTTTGATTTGGTGCAAAGACTTGTTTAAACCCATACCTTACACATCTCACCATGGCTAAATACCCAAAGGCGAACTTTGGTTCTTGATCAATCAAAAGTTTTCTTTCATTCTCCTCATCTGGCTCATTTAACAGGCGGTTTCAACACCAATATCAGCAATACTTCTCAAAGGGAAGCGCATGCTTTGATTGCCTGAACACCTCAAACGTCGATTGAAGCTGGAAGAGTTGGGAGGGTTTCCTCAACTCACAGCGTAAAACTTGTTATTGCTGAGCGACACACATCAATTCGGTTGTGGAATTTAAATTCAAAAATGACTGAACTTATTTTTATTATCCAAACTCTCAACCACTTTTTTATTATCCAAACTCTCAACCACTTCAAAGACGGAACAAATACGAAGAAGGCACGAAGAGGGATCTCGAGGATCTTTCTGGCGTATCGATGGTTCCTTGTACAAGAGGAAATCATTATCAAATTGCGCAAGTCCTCAAAGCAGATTCTACAGGTTCTTTGTGCTATGCCATTGTTCCAGTGCACCAGTCGATTTTGGAATCCAAAAGCATATATCACTGAACCCATGATCAATTTCTACGCACAATCTCAACTTCGATGTCAACGGAAGAAAGGATGTGCTACGAAGGCATGAAAAGGAATTTGGAGGATCTTTTTGCCGTCTAGATGACACTTTGTACTTTAGGTACAAATCTACTGAATGAAATCATGATCGAATGAGAATTGCTTGAACAGATCTAAAGGATTCTCATCAGTGATACATTTGTACATAACTAGAAGTAGGATCATTACTGAATAAAATCCATTATTCGGAAATGTACAAGCTGCACAGGAGTTTGAATTGGCCTAATGAAATGCATCATCAAAAACATACATTTCGTGAACGCGTCTCACTAAGAGCTCAGAGCATATAGCCCAGCTGAGCCCCACCTGGAAAAGCTTGGCTCCCTAGATGAAAAAATGTGGAGTAGAGATCCCATTGCCTTCCGTTAAGCTATGAGTACACGTCCAATATGATTTGTTGTGAATGAAATACATCTCTTATCTATTTCTCAAGTCACAGCAAAACGTACTAATAAGCATTATCAAGATGATTGAGATCAAACGGTTCAGATATCCATGGTTCTGAATTTATAACCTAAACTGCACTTCTACACCAATTGAAATCAAAGTTAATCAAATAGATGAACCATAGCATCATAAATAATTTGAAGAATAATTCTTTAGAGGTCGCATGTAAGAAGAGGTCGAGGAGAACTAGGAAGACCGTAGTTTGATGAAAATCGAGCTGAAAAGTGTGGAGAAAGCAAACATCAGAGTCTGAGCAAAAGGAAACAAACTCAAAATCAAAAGAAATTACATACCAATTACAACTTCAAAAACTCAGATGGAAGCGTGCCAGTAGATTTTGTTTAGGAGGAGTGGGAATATAGCATCGAGAGGGTTTGGAGGAGGAGCAACTGGACCAGACTCGGTATCTTTCTCGGTGACAGTAGAGAAACACAAAAACCCTCTGAAGATGTCAAACTTTGTTGAAGCCAATTCCCACAATAATAGCCTTATGATGAAGAAAGCAAGCTATTAATTTGGTATCTTTGAAATCCCTATTCATCCGGCCACTTCGATGCATTTGAAAGGAGATGTTGATATATGTCTTTTGATTACAAATTAAATTGAACGATAGAAGTAAAGGAGCTCAGAGTGAGGGTATTTAAAGTACTAATTTATTCGAATATCGGCAATGACTCGATACGAATATTCAAAAAGTAAACTCCTACTCATCATCGCAAAACAATAACAACAAGAACACATTTCAAACAAGAGAATGGAATGGTCACAAAACAAGACATTGAGATAAGGAAATCAATCAAGGAACGTGTCGCCTGCCAAGTCACAAGAGATTTGGGGAGAGTCAAAGGATTAGATAAATCATGATACATAATGAATTTGTGCTCAGAAAAGATGAATAGATGACGAATGAAGGCAGAGATAACATACCAAGATGAAATCGAGTCAAGTTCTTCAAACTTCACATGTTAAAAAAGGTTGAGGAGGACCAGGAAGACCGCAGTTTGAGGGACCTTCACCTAGAAGCAATTGTCAATTCAGGAAGAGTTTGTTAGACTGGTTTATGACATCATGAGAAGGAAGAATTGTAGGAAAGATAACATACCTAGATCAATTTCAACAAATTCGGCTGGAAGGGGGATTGGAGCATCAAGAGGTTTCGGAAGAGGAGCTACTGGACCGAGTTCGATATCTTTCTCAGGAATAGTCGAACGCTCCTTTGGAAGAGTGTCGTGGCGAAAGTAAAGAATATGAGAATAGAAATAAGCCCAAGGAAGAATGATGTACAAGTTTTTAGCGATGAGTTTAAGGAGGAACGACTCTGGAACTTTGCGAGGAGAGATCTTGTGAGTGCCCCAAATCAAAAAGATAACAAAGAAGAAGTTCAACGGGAAGTAAACAAAGAGGGTTTTTTGAAAACGAGGACCGAAGATCATTCTAAAAGTTAACTTGGGGAGAATCATGATGACAAAGAAGTTGAAGAGAAGTGGGAAGAATTCAGGAAATAGTAAAGGTTTTTATGGAATGGTATGTTGGTGTGGTGGTTGGTTTGGTGGTTGAGAGTCGTGGTGGTAGAGAGTCAGGATGAGGAGGAACGGCAATCAGAGAAAAGTAAGATATTTATATCCTATACATACAGCTTTGACGCTGATCCACACGTGACATTTACAGGAAATGCTAGTAGCATTTTGACCCGGTATGATAATGTTGAATGTGTACAGTGATTGTTTATTCTTCCCGCTCAGTAGCATCCCTTTGCCTTTGTGATGGTCCTGTATGCTGACACCAAGCTTTCTGTCTATATGTTTGAACACTACGCCCATCATTTTTGAGATTTCCAAGTGACACGGCCTTGGCTCTCAATATGCTCGTAATTAAGATTGGTCGCCGCGGAATGGAAGCCATCTGAGGAAATCGACAAAGCTAAAGTAAATGCCCTCCTCCGTTTGGTGCAAGCGGTTTCAAGATAGTTGCGCTAAAATCACAGGCCGAGTCGAGTCATGTGGAACATATGATCAGGTCCAAGTCATAATTCCTCGCCAATCATTTGGATTGAGTGAATCCAAAGAAAGCTACGCTGTCGATACGGGCCAGTTTTGATAGCGCTTTTGTCTCCTAACTCTTTGCTGCGTTTCGCAAAAAGGCATGAAATTGCAACTAAACCGGCAAATCACACCTTGAGATAAGGGTCTCGCAATTGGTAATGATTATCTTTCTGTTGATTCATAACAGCTTCAGAGGTGTTTCACTGAATATATTGCCTTTCCGCCTACTTTTCCGGTGTTGCAGGCAATGCATGCTAGTGGATACTGTGCAAGGTGATGCTTCTCAATATGATAGTTCCTCTGCATCTGAAGAAGCTTGTGGTGGAATTACTTTTAACGAGCTACTTTTTGATAGTGTTTCTCACTGAAGAATTTTTTGGGAGGATGCATCCCAAGAAACAAAATATGAGTTACGATTCCATCTTAAGTTTCTAATGACCAGGTCGAAAGCTGATGGGAACATCCCATGGAATCACAGGTTGGTCACGTGTAACTTTCTTTCGGCATCTTTTTCATGGATCAGTTGCGCTGTCATTCAAGTGGGAAACTCTACTTCTTTTGCTTTACGATTGATCAACACATTCAATACTGATCACCTAACAAAAGTGAGCGCTCTTCAAAAATTCAAAATCTGAAGATGTCAACCAGTATGGTTGCAAGAGCAAATCTAATCACAAAAGTAATTTCTTGACTAATAGTACAATGTAAGTATTTAATTACAAACAATGTCAGCAATCTGACGTCAAGACACTCAACATCAGAACCGACAAAACTAAACTTTATGATCAGGCATTTTGACCACCTTTTGACCTGGTCATTCCTTTTCTGTTCTTGATAAAACATACAAATTAGAATGTTGTTTATAAGATATGGTATTGACTTCATGAAGATATACTACATTTTTAACACATTAAATCAAATAAATGGCTCAAAATAAAGTGGTGAGTGGTTTGGCCTTGAAAGCGTGACAAAGAAAATTGGCAAGTACAAATCCATAAAGTTTGCAACAAATACCAGGGTAAGTCTCACACTGATAGGTGATTGTGCAAACTAGAGTTGAAGAGAGAGTCAGGAAACTTGCCATTCAGTCAGTAATCATAAGGTGTCTGATATTTCTGCCTTCTCTCTCATTTGTGATATGGCATATAATAGATTCTTAACCAACTTGAGTAAAGAAATGAGTGTCGCAAGCTTGCCCAATCCAAAAGGAAGCGGGTGCATTTACAACATAGTATTAGTGAATGAACCTGTAGGATACCAGAAAAAGAGGCAAGTGAGACTTGCATGCAAAGATGAAGATAGCTAGAAGACAGCTCATCTGAGCCAGCTGCTGTGCATAGAGACTCACTGAAAAGTTAGATGACTGTAGCATACTATCCCTACATACACCAGGCAGTGTTAATTGTTGTCAAGCAACACAGTCACCATTGATGATAGTGGGTGATCACAGGATGTCTGCTCAACAATTTCTTCTTGACATGTATTGTATCAGAGGTATGACTCAAAAGCTTCTGTTCCAAGCGCTGATTGTGCTCACATCACAAGCTATAAGCCCTGGTTAAATATTAAGCAAAGGCTAAACTACAGGAAGGTCTTTTACAAAGCAAGGAACACCATGTAAATATCCGTGTGGCACGTCAATGTGCACACACGGAGAGTTTTGAAATAAAACTCCAAGTCTTTTGGTCGAATTTAGACTGAGATTGTTGTTGAGCACCCTTTGTGCTTCACGACTTTGTTCCATCATGTTTCTTGTCATGTTTTTCACCGCAATCCTTGTCCTTATTAGGATTCTCGACATTTACCAAACCAGACCCCCGTTCCTTGTGCCCGCTAGAATTGATAGGAACCCACCTCGCTGCCATCATAAAGTTCATTAAGATGGCCATTGAGGCGCATCTTGATTCCATATCCTGTAGCTAACTGTAGCAATCCATGTATGCTAGCCAAGGATTCAAACGCTGTTGAATGCCAGATGATGAACTTTGTCAGCTTGGGCCAGATTTCAATCTGGAGCCATGTTGTCACGTCTAGTTCATGCAACATAGGAGTCTCACATAAGTGAATTTTGGATATATTCTTTGAAGCTTGAAAGGCTCTTAAGAATCCTACTGGAAGACGGTGTGATGAGGTGAAGAATTTGAGGTTGGGCAATTCAAATGAGAGTTCTCCACTCCAGAGTGCCCGTGAAATTGGATCAGCGTTCCAATCTTCACCAGTGTGTAATACTAAGGAGTGCAAACTAAGTTTGATCAAAGTAGATGCAAATAATTTGGTAACACTACAACAATTGACATCTTTAACCAGGGGTATAGAAAAGTAGTGTGGACATAGAAAACTATTGGTAGGGTAGTTTTCTATACCAATAAACAATGCTTTTGATACACCTATGTAACATATTTGAGATTGAGAAATTGAGTATTTTCTTTGCGGTGACTCAGCTGCATGTATTGGGACCCAAAGGCAGTGCTACAGTGCGCAGAATCTCAATTTTCTGTTTTTTGATATTTTTATCCTGAGA